ATTAGGAGGCAGAAGAAACAAGACTAGGTAAAACATGTGAGTGGGACATATGGGTACGATTTACAGAAGACAGTACCTTTAGCATTTGGGATGCCGCATTAAGTTTGGTAGGTATCCTTGTCTGTGTAGTGGTTTAATGTGTGCCATAACTGCAAGTAGTTGCCAAGGTAACTGCATGTAGCAGACATGCACTTAGGTGCCATAAGGGTAACCAGGTGAAATCAGTGGTGTTAAATTGGATAGTATATAATACTAGTAATAATCGATTCTAAAATGTAACTATAAATTTGTATTATATCAAATTAAGCTAATAAAAACCAACTAACATTGTCACCAAAATTCAAAAAAAAAACAAAAAAACTAATAACTATAATCTTAGCAAAAGCAAAAAAAAAATATATATATATTTAAATTTTATGAATAAAAAATTTTAAAAATTATATTAGTATTATAATAATTATTTTGTAATTAGTTAAATTAACATATTTGTAACCTTTAATCATATTATCTTAAATAAACACTTGAAACTTCTATGTAAAATATAATATTACATGTATATAAAAGAATTTTAATAATTAGTATTATATAAAACTTCAATGCAAATCTATAATAAGACTATTAAATACAAAAAAATAAAAAAACTAAAAAGTCAAAAACCTATTGAAAATCTCAAATAAAAAAGTAACACAAACTTTTAATAATGTTATTAGATCAATAAAAACCTATAAAACACCTTTAATAAAAATAAGTAGATAAACCAGATAACAAGTATATAAGAGAAACATATGCACTAACCTGATTGTCAACATTATCAAAAAAAAAATACATAAGTATATTATACTGGACCATCTAAATTGAAAGTTTGAAAAATTTTGTCAATTTTAAGTTGCAATTAGTAAAGAATAATAGAGAAAATATCAGAAAGATGAGTATTAGAGTTTAGATGAACTTTATAAAAGTATAACAGTTTAACAATTAGTCCTGATTGCAAGTGCTGATCTAGACCAAAGTGTGATCTTCTGAATTAGCTCAACATAAATTCCAAACGTGTGTAAAAGAAGAAAAAGCAAAAAAAAACAAAAACTAGTGTTTAAATCGGCCTTGATGCACTTATTAAAAATGTTGGAACCTAAATTTTATATATATTGTGCAATAACCTAGTGTTCCGAGTTGGTAAAAATTCTTCCAATCGATTAGTTGCCAACTATAGTTGCAACTAATCATCATGTGACTAAATTTGTGATTGCCCAATCAAACTAAAGAAAATCGATTGGAAAGTTGTCAACTAGTTGGTTTTTCAACTAACGATTTGGATCACTACTCGGTGTTAACGTTCTAACCCTAAATTTGTGTTTTTACAAAATCAAATTTCCTATTTTGGGTTGTATTACCGGTATAAGTAAATCCTCTAATTCCATGGATTTTGTGTTACGAATCATCATTATGTAAAAGCCGACAACCTGATTGGTTTCGAGTATTTGCTGCAGGGTTTAACGCAGCCTTAAATATCGACTGTATTATTTATGTTACGTACCACATCTTGGTTATCATATGACCTATTACAAAAAAATCTAATAAATAAATTTGGTTTAAAATATCTATCACGTGCTGGCTAAATTGAGGAACAGAATAAGAGTCTACGTATACTCCGGGTACAGGCTAAATTTGCTAAATTTGTCGAATTCAAAAATGCAGACTGTATATATTATAACCACGTGGTTATAATAAAAGCGCCATCATTTCTTTATTTATTTAAGAAATGTTTACTTATGATGATAAAGTTCATCAGAATTTTCTCAAAAGAAAAAAAAAAAATAGAAAAATGAACACGTTAATATGTAAAGATAACTTACCATCGTCGTCAACATCAACAACTACAACCTCTGATAGGACATTATTTCCGTCAAATGGACCTGATAGTTTTGAGGGACCGGAGAAATTGCTTGAAATTTGGTTTGAACCTTCACTAGATTATATAGTTAAGGGTGATACATCGACGAACATTGGATTACGCTCTGTTGATAGAAAAATATGGGATGATATGTTAAATATTGTTAAGTGTAAAATAATAAACATGATTGAAAATGACCATGTGGATGCTTATCTATTAAGGTGAGAATTACGGACTTATAAATAAAAAATTTTAAAGTTAATAATTTTTGAAAGCGGCAAGTATCTATCAATATAATATAGCGAATCTTCAATGTTTGTATATCAACACAAAATTATTCTGAAAACGTGTGGAACAACAACTCTTCTCGTGGCTATACCTCGTCTTTTGGAAATCGCATCCGAGTATTGTCAATTTCATAGGGTTTGGAGAGTATTTTATTCTCGGAAGAGTTTTATGTTTCCTGAACGGCAATTACATCCGCATAATGATTGGAAAGATGAGGTTGCTTACTTGGAACAACTTTTCGGTAAGGCATTAACAAAATGCTTAATAAAAGCTTGTGCTTTTGTTATCAAGTTAACATGCTCAATTTATGAATCTAAGATAATGGCAGTGCTTATACGGTTGGAAGGGTCAATGGCGATCATTGGTTCTTGTATTTGACGTCACCACAAAATGACATCATTTCCGATAACGACAATATTTCATCACGATTAGACGTTAATGTTGAAGATCAATGTGCAACTAACGACTTGGACGATCAGACAGTCGAAGTATTAATGACTGAACTAAGTCCAAAAAAGATGAAAAAATTTTATTGTAACAATACGGATAATGATTCAGGAACCGAAGGTGGTGCACGAGTAGACAGAGAAACAGGTTTGAAAAATCTTTATCCCTCGGCAAAATTGGATTCTTTCCTATTCAAACCTTGTGGATATTCGGCGAATGGCTTGCTTGAAGATAGCTATTTTACTATCCATGTTACCCCTGAACAAAGTTGTTCTTATGCGTCATTTGAAACCAATATTCCGTTAGCACATGGAACTATTTCCGAGATCATTAACCAAATGATATCTATTTTTGAACCTGGTAAATTCAGTGTAACCGTTTTTAAGACTCAAGGATGTAACGTTGACAAAAAGCATCTTGTCAATTCTTTGAGTAATATTGAAGGCTATGTTCGTAGAGACAGGATTCTTTACGATTTTGATGGTTATGATTTGGTCTTTGGACATTTTGAAAAACGAGACATGTGATAAATGACGCTTCTAAACTTTCACGTATTTGGCAAGGATTCGTGATAAAAAGTTAATAGAACTTTCAGCTGATTATTTACTTACAACTAAAAGCAATTACTATTTGTTTATATTATCTAATTTTTAGATATGTTGAAAGTTAAATATGTTGCTTTTAAAATTATCTCGCATTATACGAAAGTTATTTTGACATTTTGACTATTTTCATCTTTAGCTTAACATTAAATTCAATTGTATCCTTGTCAACTAATTTGAAAAATGGATTAAGATTTTGGTTTTTATATCTCTGTGACTTTAAAATAAACTTTACTTGCGTGTAGATATTTTTAATACAAATTGTACTAGCAAAGATACTATTTTGAAAAAAATAAAAGATATTTTAAGTAATTTTTTTTTTTTTTTTTAGGTTGGCTATTAAATAAGGCTAAATTATATTTAGTATTTATTGGTCAGACAGTATAAGTTATAAAAGCAAAGGGTTTAAATAGAAAATCTACTAATAATTTTCAAAGGTAAAATGCTTTTTAGAAATTTGTTTCTCTTGAACATCATTATTAAAATACAAGAAAATAAATAGATAGACAAAACTTTAATAAATGAATAGTTTAATAAAATTTAAAAAAGAAAGAGTTTAACTAGTAAACAAAATATAACTTATTAGTAATAGATTTTTTTAAAAGATTTTACTAATTCTAAAATATAATATGCTTTTATATTAAAAGGGCCTATTTTGCAGATCATTAAATTTTGTGAATCTTTTTATTATATAATTAGCTTTTATTATTTATAACAAACTTTTTTTATTGAAGATATATCTATTCAAAAATCAAATAAAAATAATTTTTAAAATAGGTTTTTTAATATAAAATATTTTATATAATTAAATAAACAGTTAGAAATATATTTTTTAGCAAACTTATTTTGTTTTTGTTTGTGTTAAAGTTTTTGTTTTTAAGAAGTAATTTTTATTCAAATTATTATATATATAAGAACCTTTAAAGGTTCTTTTATATAAAAGGTTATAGCTAGTTATACATGCATTTTTGATGTTTAATTTAAGTAGGTTACTTATATATTATTATATAGATTCTATACTAAATGTTATACTTGCAAGCCAATTACAAGTCTTGCTTATTTAAACTTTTTGTATATGCGATTCAACTTGTATTACAAAACATTTTCAGAGTATAGTCTATTCAAAGTTTTAATATATATTAGTATTTTTAAAATTACTTTATTTTGGGATGGGGTCCCGTAGCCTAGTGGTCTAGGCGCCCCTCCTTCCACAGACAAGGTCAACGGTTCAATTCCAGCTGGAGGCAAAAACTCTGTAATCTACGGAAGCATATGAATGTACGCGAAGCCCTGTGGCTTAAG